TAAAAAAATATTTTTTAGATGAAACAAACAAAATAATTTATCCTAGTAGACTAACCAAAATTTTAACAAAATATAAACTGAATTAATATGTTATCATGATTAATATGATGTAAAATATTATAAAGTGACTCAATCAAGGTTAATTTATAACTTCTTCCAAATCATTTGCAGATTCCAGGGAATAGTAAAAAAAATAATGTTCTCCATACAAATATAATTTGCTTAAATATTATTTACCCAAAATTTTCATCTACATTTACTCGACTTTAACAAGATTACTTGTATGTGGACATTGTGAAAATCATGTTGTGAGAAGAAATATGATTTTTTTTTAATTGTGTGTATCCAAACTTTTTATTTAATAAAGTTTACTCCTCAAAATAAATACAATAAACACCCGCAAGCTCATATCATGAGTGCACCTACCCTCATTTTTTCACCTGGTGCATTCATTTTGTAAACAAATACAAAATATTGTTTTTCTCCCTTTTTTTCTTTATATTTAGGCTTTTATACTATCTTTTCATTTGTAGTGTCAACCTAATCGAAATAAGTGTCACCGTAAATTGAATAAATAACTGCTCAGTACATATATTTAGGCTTTTATACTATCTTTTCATTTGTAGTGTCAACCTAATCGAAATAGGTGTCACCGTAAATTGAATAAATAACTGCTCAGTACATATATTTAGGCTTTTATACTATCTTTTTATTGTCTTACGAGTTAAGAGAACGCATCAATTTCTGAAGTTTAGATTATTTACTTGGTCAGTATAAAATAACTTTATCTTACGTAGGTCCATCCAATACACTCAAGATGTACTAGTTTAATTCATCAGCCAAAGATAACTGAATCTAAATTACACTACAGCATGTCACAACAGACAGTTCAATTCCGTCTAGGCTATGAATCATTTTATTTATATTTTACAGAAACTGATAATATTATCTTTCTGTTCGACAAACTATATTACCTACAATATAAAATAAAAGAACTTATATTCGTATAAATAAATAAATTACAAACACAAATACTTGACCAAAATATAATTCTCACTAAAAATGGTATTGTCAGAAGCCGAAAGCCGAGCTTTTACAGTTTACCCTAACATATTTTTCTATGACTTCCAATATCCAGCTTGAGATGCTGCTAGGAGGGGTCTACTGGATGTATCTCAAATCGCCCTTTAGAGGTACTCCCTCTGATGCAGAATATTTATTATTATTGCTATTATTATTATTTTATTATTTAAATGTTTAGTAGCTTTCTTGTTGATCAAAAGTTAGGTTCAGGATTAAGGGTCTTATATAAATGACTCCCTCGTGTTTATTTTTCTTAGTTTATTATTGACTAGAAATATGAATTGATTGTGAGTTTTATCGAGAGAGTATCTCGTTTATCTTTCCCACCCGTACGCTTCCTTACATCAATTGGTATCAACAGTCAGTACGATTTGTGATGTCACGGGGACGATAAGATGCCGCAAACGAATGACGTGATACAACCTTCAACGATCAGTTTCAACAGATCAACTACCGATTTCAACAGTTGGACGTGCGCTTCACGGAATGGTTTGCCGATCTTTGGACGGGGATCGAGGATTTGCGTTTGATGCTTAACAACATGGTTGTATCGAAATTGCAAATGAACCGCAATGGGGCTTGAGGCCATGGCAATCGCGGGGGAGCTAGAGGCGGACATAGAGGACATGGCTATGTCGAGGCGCCCCGGCAGTGTTGGGTTCTATGAAGAACGTCAAACAACATACACAGTATTGAACTTATCGAAATAAATCCTAATGCAGCGGAATCTATAGTTAGGATGTACACATTACCTTTTAAAATTTTGTCGACTCAGAGACGATGTAGAATACTGTTGATGTAGTTCGTCTGAACACCAAAATCTAATGGGCAGATAGATTTGGCCTTTACACGATTCTAATTGAGAGTTCCAACAAAGCTCGGTTACACGGCTACTAGGTCTCGGCATCGGGTGCAGCGGGCTGGTCGCAGACGGTGGTCTCGGTCGATGGCAACATGCGCGGGCTGCTGGTGTGACGCGCGTACCGCTGGCGAGGCGCGTCGGGCGCTGGGAGCAGACAGGCGTGTTGCGGACGTGTGCTGGCCGGACTCCTAGGCGCTCGCGGACTGGTGTTGTACGTCTGGGCCACGCGGGCGTGCGGATTACGTCTCCTGGGCGCGCAAGGAGTAGCGCGCGCATTGTTGTCGTGCGCTGGGGTCGTGGGCGAACATGGACGTCGCGCGAACGGGCAAGAGGGGCTGGGCTGCTTCGCGCGTAATGTTGAACGTCGCTGTGGCGCGCGGTAGCGTCTGGTGTTTGTAGTATTTTTGCGGAGGGTAAAGGATAACTGAGTTACCCGACTCGGGACGATCTCGAGGGAAGGCTATTCGGAGCTTTACTTACTATTCAATCGCTCAAATCACAAAAATGGAAAATAAAGTCCTAAACATACTAATTAATTTGGGTTTAGGTTGATTAACACTAATTACGACTAGAGAAAGCGAGTAAACGAGCACTTAGGCAAGCAGTCGAACTTAGAAACCCTAGCTTCTAAACCGGTGAACGAAAACACGAGCAAGAAAAGCGAAAATAAGAGAAACGAACTTCATTTAGCATGCTTAAGAGTCAAACCGAAATCCTACTACAAAATAACTGAGCCAAAAGACAAGTCACGATTTTTCT